ACCGGCTTCTGGGGTGCCAGCCCGCTCCAGGAGGCAGAGGTGGGGAGGGGACTAGTATTTCCAAATTTCTTTCCCGTGTCCTGGGGATTCACGGGGTGAATGTCAGATGCTAACGTGCGGCGTGATCTTCGTGTTTTGTTCTTTTTAAAAACAATCTTTGACGTTTATTTTTCAAGAGAGACACAGAGCGCACGCGAGGGAGGGGCAGAGAGAGAGGGAGACACAGAATCCGCAACAGGCCCCAGGCTCTGAGCCATCAGCACAGAGCCTGATGCAGGGCTTGGACTCACGGACCGCGAGATCGTGACCCGAGAGCCTCACCGACTGAGTCACCCAGACGCCCCGTGACCTTGACGTTCTTTTGAAAGTATATAGTCACCCGCACGTGTTTATTTGGAAGCGTCTGCCGGGTCTGGAAAGTAACTCATCTGTGCTAATAGCGGGCTGGCTTTGCAGGGGACTTTCCTTCCCGTGTGTGTCTCAGGCAGCTCAGGCTGTGATGACGAATACCACACATGGTGGGGGGGTGGTTTGTGGAGGCTGCAGGTCCGTGGTCACCGTGTTGGCTCCGGCGGTCCCTGCTGGGGGCTCCCCTCCGGGCTGCAGACAACCACCCGCTTCTCTCCGAGTGTGGTCACGTGGAAGAGACGGCACTCGGGTCCCGCACCCCCTTCCTGCCCCCCCCAACCTCACCTAACCCTGATCGCCTCGCCTCCCAGACGCCCCACCTCCCAAACCATCATCCCCCCCACCCCCGGGGTTAGGACGGCGGTGGCGCGGGGGGGGGGGGGGAGCACAACACTCAGACCATATCACCTTCTATAGCTTTTCACTAACTAGAATCATAAACATGACCATCGGCCACAGGTTTGCCTCACTTTGAGCGATGCCTCCTTGTGGCCCTGACTTAGCCGTCCCCGGGGCTCAGAGGAGGGAACCCGAGTTCAGAGAGAGAGCAGCGGCCCCACGGTCTCCCAGCCAGAAAGGCAGAATTTGAATCTGGGTGCAAATAAATGAGAATTGCTACAGTCGCCTCTCGGCATCCGCCCCTGCTTCACCCCAAATCTGTTCCCCCTCCAGGGAGAGCCCCCCGCTTTGGCGGGACAATTCAGTGGATTCCACAACCATCTCGGAAACAGGTGAGCGGACGGTGGCAGGGACGTGACTCTGAGCATCCTTCTGATTTTTCTGATCCCAACCAGTGAGGTGGTGCCAGGCAGGGCGGGAGAGGGGGGCAGGGGCCTAAGAGGTCAGGGGCAGCTCCCTGGGAAGGATGGAGGGCTGGGTGACAGCGCCGTGGGGCAGGGACACCCTAAGGCTGAGGTGTGGCGGCTAGACCAGTCAGGGTGCTTGGAAAACACACTGCTGTTCCCTTTCAGGCTCCGCCAGGCAAAGCAGCTATGACATCTACAGGGTGCCCAGCGGCCAGAGCAAGGAGGACCGTGGGTACGTGCCCCCGGGGAAAAGAGCCCCCTCAGCCGGACACTCGCGCATCCCGGGGCTGCGTCCCCGTGTTGGTGGGGCCGCCATGCGAGGCTGTGGGGAAACTGAGGCCCGGAGGGGGTGGGGGCTCTCCCAGGGAGGCCCAGCGCGCCCCCTCTCCACCCATTCCGGCCTAACCCCGCCTCTGCCTCCCCTTAC